CTCCCAGCATCCACGTGGCAGCTCTCAATCATCTGTAACTCCAGCTCCGGGGAACCCACTGCCCTCTTCTGTCCTCTGAGGGTGGTGCACAGACATACATGCAAGCAACACACCCACAAACAGAAAATACAAAACAAGCCACCTCTAAATGACTTATTTCAGGACAGGCATGGCACTCACACTGTTGACCTGTGTTTGACCCTGGGACCCATACCGGGAAAGGAAAGAACCGATTCCTGTAAGCATCCTCTGACCTCCACATGTGCACGGTGATGTGTGTGCGCTGACACATACACAAAAGGAACCCATGTAATTTTAAAATAGGCTAATGTATAGCAAGGTAGGGTAACGTGGGAGTCAGAGGCAGGAGAGCTCCCACAAGTTTGAAGCCTCCCTGCTCTACACAGAGTTCCAAGCCAGCCAGGGTTGCAGAACAAAAGCCTATCTCAAAAACATGGGTGGGTATCTGTAAGCTGCACTTACATGCTTGTACATTTCTTTTTTTTGTTTTTTGTCTTTTGTTTTACTAGACAGGGTTTCTCTGTATTGTTTTGGAGGCTGTCAGTCCAGCCTGGCCTCGAACTCACAGAGATCCGCCTGCCTCTGCCTCCCGAGTGCTGGGATTAAAGGCGTGCGCCACCACCGCCCGGCACTTTTCTTTTATAATAGTCTCTTGAATCATACTAAAAATTCCAGTGAAGTGTAGATAGCCAAAAACAGCTCAGGCACTCCTAGTCACAGTGGCACACTAGCAATGTCAGGATTTATTTCTTTGGAGGTGAGACAAAGCTCAGAGAGCAGGCTGTTTGCTGCTTTCCAAGCTAAGACACAGGATAAGCAGCCCTTTGGTGACCTTTCTGCTCTGGAGTGAGTGATCATAGCTAACAGACATCCCGAGTCACAGAGTGCCAGATCTCTGCACACCCCATTCCTTGGAGGTTCCCAAGGGGCCCCTACACGAGGCTCACAGCCTCCTTTACACACATGGAAATGGGTCTTTTCAATGTGATATTCCAGGCCTATTACTTCTGAGTGTCCAAGACAGAAAAGAATACAGAATTTCCCGTCTCTGTTCAACCTCTTGATTGTTTTATAATCACGGACACTGTCTTGTCCTTTCTTGATCTGAGCCTGCTCTCTAACCTTTGAAGCCAAAGAGACAAAAACTGTGAATGGTTTCCAGGACAAAGTGAAAGCTGGGGCTGTGCCGCCATAGACTTGAGTTCAAATCCAACTCATCTTAGATCGCTTTCTGAAGTGGAATGTCCTGTTCTGTAGAGACATCTGGTCTGTTGCTGTCCACAGGGTTATTGTAAGGCATAAGTCAGATGGCAGGAGCCCAATGCCTCACTGTATACAGCTGCTCCGCATGAAGAAACTCTTGCTCTTGTCTTGTTTATCTGAGACCCTTTCTCCATCTCTAACGGCTCACTGCGACTAAGGAACGCTCCCATGCACTCCAAGTTTATCTCCCCCTGCTGTCAGCATCTACAACTGCAGTCTGTGCTCCCAGCAGAAGGCCTGGTTCTGGATTAAAGAGAGGTTTAATCTCAACACCTAGGACAACAGGGTTAAAAGTTTTTCTAGCAATCAACTTGAGGAAAGTTTATTATTTTTGTCTTAGGAGTCATTTAATTACCCCTTACCCCCCTCGGGATGACTGTTAGTTACTTCTCTGCTGTTATGATAAATATTCCCACAAAACCAGAACAAACTCTTCCTTTATTTTTTCCTTTTTTTTTTCTTTCACCCCCCTTGGTTTTTCAGACAGGTTTTTTGAGGCAGGTTTCTCTGTGTAGCTTTGGAGCCTGACCTGGAACTCACTCTGTAAACCAGGCTGGCCTCAAACTCACAGAAATCTGCCTGCCTCTGCCTCCCGAGTGCTGGGATTAAAGGCGTGCACCACCACACCTGTTGATTTCTTCCTTTCTTAAACCAGGGAATAGTCCCAAGCAGTATTCCCACTTCAATGAACACGATTAATATAATGCTATACAGACATGCCCATGGTTCTATAGTCTGTCAAGTTAACAATTAGCACTCACCATCACAAGGATCTAGATGCTCTGAGAGTTTGAATGGCTTGGCCAAGGTCATATAAGTCATATAAGATGACCAGATTTGGGGCTAGAGAGATGGCTCTGAGGTTAAGAGCACTGACTGCTCTTCTTAGAGGTCCTGAGTTCAATTCCCAGCAACCACATGGTGGCTCACGATCATCTATAATGAGATTTGGAGCCTTCTTCTGGCATGCAAGAATACATGGAGACAGAACACTACACATAATAAATAAATAAATCTTTAAAAAATTACCAATGCCTTTAATCCCAGCACTCACTCAGGAGGCAGAAACAGGTGAATCTCCGTATGTTGGAGATTCTTGTCTCAAAAAACAAACAACACAACTGAATTTTGTGACTGGAAGCGTTCCTTTTCTGCATATCCAACCACTCTCAGCTAGCTAGTGTGCAGTTCTGTCCCAGGTGAGGAATATCCACAACATTTAGGGTGTTCAGGTTAGGCAAAGGGGGCTCCAGCTGTCTGGTTATGGAAAACCATCATCAGTACTAGGTAGAATTTCCAGTCAATACAGCAGCTCTACGTCTGTCCTGAATGCCCCAGGTAAACTCTGTAGGCAAGCCTTACAAATCCGTCAGTTCTTCTTGGTAAAACCAAAACTCTCTTTGGTGTCTAACGGAGGAAGATATCAACAACAGCAGCAGCAGCAGCAGCATATAAATATAAAATAAATAAATATGAATGAAAAATTACCAGATTTGGGTGGCTGAATCATGCCCTGCCCTCTGAGATGTCCTCACTGTAGCCTCTGGAATTCATGAGTATTTTATGGGGTAGAAAAGATGTTATAGACGTGATTAAGGTTTTTTTTTTAAAGATTTATTTATTCCAGACAGTGGTGGTGCATGCCTTTAATCCCAGCACTCGAGAGGCAGAGGCATGTGGATCTCTGTTAGTTCCAGGCCAGCCTGGACTGCGGAGCTAGTTTCAGGACAGCTAGAGCTGTTAAAAAAAACAAAAAACAAACAAACAAAAAAAAACGTGTCTCGGATATGGTGTTCTCCCTGCAGGCCAGAAGAGGGCACCAGATCTCATGGCAGGTGGTTGTGGGCCACCCATTATTAAGATTCTTGAGATAGGAAGATTATTCTGGGATAACAAGTGGGCTCAATGTAATTGCAAAGGTTCTAAGTGGGAGGCAGGAGGGCAGGTGTGATGGTGAAATAGTCTAAATGGGAGCCACGAGGATGGGCGTGATGGTGAAATAATCGTCTTAGCTACTCAGGAGGTTGAGGCAGGAGTATTGGAAGTTCAAGACCAATCTGAGTAACTGTCTCAAAAACAAAACAAAGATTTGAAACGAAGTTTTATTTTTGTGGCCCTGGCTATCCTGGAACTCATATTAGACCAGGCTGGCCTTGAACTCACAGAGATCCTCCTGCCTCTGCCTCCTGAATGCTAAGACTAAAGGCACAAGCACCACAATGCCCAGACTTCTCAAATATTTGCATATGACTGATAAAAGAGGCATGAGCACACACACTTGTAACCTAGCCCTTGCAAAGCTGACACAGGAAGACTGTGAGCTTGAGGTCAGTCTAGACTACAGCAAGTTCCAGGGTAGGCTGGGCTGTGAGACACTACCCCAAACAAACAAACAAATAGCACTACTACCAGTTTTTAAAAGACTGATGTAGTTCAGTAGTAGAGTTCTTGACTACCATAAACAATGCTATGAGTTCGAAACCCCCCTTCTCTCTTACACACACACACACACACACACACACACACACACACACACACACACAGGTTTCTTTCTGAGAAACAACAGTTTCTAAAGTATGAGTATGTCCCAAATGTTACATAAGGCACTCTGTCTTAAAAATAGACTTCTGTTTATCTGAAATTCAAATTTAACCGACTGTTCTATATTTTATTTGGCAACCTAGAAGTTGGGGATTGGAGAGAACCTAGGATCACAAGTTTCATGACTTGCAACCTGGGGTGACTGGTACTCATTTACATGCCCAGCACTCAAGAGATAAAGGTACAAGGATCATGAGTTGGGGGCCAGCCTGGTCTACATGATGACACCCTACATTAAAAACAAACAGATAAGCACAGCTCAGGATTCCTGGGCCACTTCACACGTCTCCCACACGTGCAGTTTGGCATCTGGCAAAGCTTCTGTGTCCTTACATCCCTTCTGGACTGCCTAAGGGCTGCCTAAGACTCCTCTTATCCATAACGTAGGGAAAAGAAGAGGAGACTTAAGGTCATTCCTTTGGACCTGACATTCTCTTCGACCACCAGAATTTTTCTAGAAATGGTTTATTGTCCTAATTGTACCTGAAAGAGGCACCTCAGAGATCTGCCCCCAAATTACAGTTGCACAAAACATGGATATGTATGTAGTGAGGGTAGTTAACGAGCCAGGCATGGAACTACCAAACCCCTTTTCTTTTTCAGCGTATTGCCTTCTGGAGACAAGCGCGTGAGCCCAAAAGCAGAAAACAGGTAGTTTCTGAGTCTGGAGTCCAGGGCAAAAAAATCTTATTATTCATGAAGAACTGAGGCCAGGAGACTAGGACACTCGGTCAAAATGGTTCGGCTGATGGCATATTGACATGGGGCAGCCAGTCCAGATGTCAGCTGAGGAGGAGTTCTGGAATGCCAATCCTGAGGTCTGGGTCTGAAGCCGGTCACAGCACCGACTGCCTCTTCCCTGTCCTGAAGTAGGGGATTTGCAAAAACATAAAGATTTAAGGAGAAAATGGTGTCGAACACTAGGCATACGGCAGTATGTTCTAGGGAAGCAGCTTCTTTCCTCCTCCAGGTCTCAGTTTCCCCATCAACACACCCGGCTACACAGCCGGGGCCACCAGGTGGGGACAGACCCACGCCAACGATGCACAGCTCACTCATGCGCGTTCGCGGGTGGGCGCCGCCTTCGCGCTGTCGAACGTCACTTCCGGCGCGAGTGCCGGGCGGGCCGGCCGGGGAGTGCGGGTCGGTACTGCGCGCGCTGCCAGCTGAGGCTCCTGCCGCCGTGACCCGCGCTCCGCCTGCCGCCGGGCTGGTGAGTGCCCGCGAGCCCGTGCGTGCGCCTAGGGGACAGAGATAGGGACCGCAGAGGGCGAGACTGCCGGAAGTGAGCCAGAGGGGCGGGAGACCCCAGGAAATGGGGACACCTGGGGAGGGGGGCGACGACCGGAAGTAGGGGCCTTGGACCGCTGTCAAAGGCTTGGAGGTCTCTGGGGCTCCGAGAGAGAGAGATGGTTTCCGGCCTCCGGTTGTTTTGGGAGAAAGGGAATGCTGCACAGGTGGGGAGGATGCTAGGTTTTGTATCCTGTTCCCAAGGCCACCCGTCAAGTCGTTTCCCCGACTGACAGCTACTGCAGAGCCCTTGGGCATACAACAGGAAGCTGCAGGTGGAGGATAGAGATGATGAGGCCAGGGTGGGGCTTGACACTTCTCTCTGCCTCACTGGCAGGGTTTGCCAGACTTCCCCCACGATGTTTACTGAGTGCTGTTATGTATGAACCGGCACTGGGGGCAGTGGTGACCCCGGCAGGCAAAGGTCTCTGCTCTGTTGGGATTTGCACTGTAGGGGGCACGGTGGCGATAATGTGCTGGCTCGATATCGTGAAGATGAAATACGGAGTTGACAGTGTAGTTCCGTGGTAGAGTAACCAGGTGTAAGGCCCAGGGTTCTATCCCCAGCAAGACACAGAGAAACCGGCTGTACAGTGCTTGATTCAAAGCAAAGCCCTCAAGCGTGTCTGACCTCTTTCCATCAGTCCGCTGTGATGGAAGCTGAGCAAGGCAAGGTTTTATGTTTTCCACCGTATCCCTAGCATCTGTCAGCACAGTGCCTGACACATACAGGAGGCAGACAGTGATTCTTTGATAAATGAATGGGTGGAAACTGACTCTGAAGGTTTCCTGTAAACACCTGTGACACTGAACAAAAGTTTCTAAGAATGATAGGAGCCCAGAGCTGTGGAAACCTGGAGGGACTCGTCCTGAGAACATCGGGAGGCTTTACAGAGTAGGTGACATTGCAGCTGGACCTTGAGGATGAGTTATATGGTTGGCAGCAAACAGGAGAGGAAATTTCATTCAGAGGATATCAGATGTGTGAGACATTCCAAGAATGGCGGGTCATTAGCTTGTCTTCCCTGGCAAGGGAGGGGTGGACAAAGAAAGGAGAGGACCTTTAAAGGCTAGTTCTGTAGCCTGTAACACAACAATCTCAGGTAGGCAGCAGTGGGCTGGGATTCCAGGCACCTACCTGTTGGTGACTGCCATGGAAACAGCCCAGGGTGGATCCAGTGAGGCCAGGATTGTCCTGTTCCTTGCTCAGCACACCTCTGTGAAGTAAATTGAAATAAAGTATGCATGGGGTCTGTATGTCTTAATACCTTGTTTGGTGCTACAAGGTATTACCTGAATATCACACGCTGATTACCTACACATGTGACAAGAATTGGGGACATCCTAGTCCGAAGAGCTGATGTCCAGGCAGCTCAGACAGCCTGGAGTGAGTGAAGACTGGATTATTCCTGTCACTGTCCCCCTTTGCCTGGATTGTTGCTGAGCCTTGTATACCAACACTTCATTGCAGCCCACTTTTTAAATTAAAGTTATTTTTCACTATACCTTCCTGTGGAGCATGGATGCGCACACATGGAGGTCAGAGGATAGCCTTGAATTGCTTTTCTCCTTTCACATGGGTTTTGTAAAATTCGTAAAGTTTAATTCCGGGGATTGAACCCAGGTAGCCAGGCGGGAGCTGCAAGTGAACCGTCTCGAAGGCCCTAGTGCATTTTTGAGACAATAGAGAGATCCTTTTAAACAGGGATCATGCCAAACCCTCTCTGCCCCTCCTCACTCAGCACAGAAGTCTGAAGTTCTTACTAGCATACAGTGTCCTGGCCAGTAGCCCACAGAAAGCCTCTGAACCCATCTATTTTCCCCCATCTTGCTACACTGGGCATCTTGCTTTTCAGAAAAGCCAGGCACCCTGAGTAAAGATACCCTTACTCAACCCTATGGTGTATTTACCCTGTCATCTTTGCTCAAATGTTGCTTAGGCAAGCCTTCCTTGACTGCCCTGTTTAAGACTGCAATCCTGGTCCCATTCCCTCCTCCTCTTCATAATCATAGACTGTATATTATGTTAGAAATTGTCTCCAGTCTCCACTGGGCTCAATGAGCCAGGGTTTTTGTTTGTTTGTTTGTTTGTTTGTTTGTTTGTTTGTTCTTTGCTTCTGCATCCACAGTGCCTGAGAAAAAAACCCTGGTACATCATAAGTTGGTACATATTTGTTGGATGTATATGTGCCACCCAGTCAGGTCTTAGGGTGAATGAATCTATGTGTGTGTTGGAAGGAATGGAGTAAGCATACTTTTGAGAGGGACCAGGATACGCAGAGAATGAGGACATCTTTGGAAGCAAGTGAAAGAAGCTGGTGTGGCTAGAGGTTGGAATCCGAGAGATGGAGTGATCCTGAGATTTGGAGGCAGTGGCCTGCATGGTCACTAGCTGCAGTGGACCAGAGGAGTTCAGCCAGGACATCACAGGCATGTTCAAGAACTCTGAGATGGCCCCTGCTCTCCTTTTTGAGCGTGGAGTGGAAGATCGCTGTCTGCTCATGGACAGAAACTTAGGCTCTGCAGCTGGGGAGTCCTGCTCCATCTTATTCTCAGGACAGCTCAGGCAGCTGTCCTGTTTTTCATCCCATAGTGTGCTAGTGCAGGTGTTCCAGAAGCAAGCCCTGGGATCAACAAATGGACAGGTAGTATGTGTTTATTGGAGTGCCTACACAAATAAAGGGAAGGGGGGTGACGAAGAACCTTCCAGTCAGCGATGCAGGTCTGGCCTCCTGTGAAGGTTTTTAGGCAGGAAGAATCCAGCCAGATCAACAGAGTCTGAAACATGTCTCTGTTGGTCAGTCACTGGCTGGGGATTGGCTTGGGGTGGGAAGGTCCGTGCAAAGTGTTGTCTTATTAGTCTAGTCTCTGAAGGGATTACTGCTGAGCCTTCAGCAACATTTCCTTAGCAGTAGATGTGACATATTTCCGTGACCATCATAATAAGTTACATTGTAAAACTTCAGTAGATGTGACATATTTCCTTGACCACCATAAATTACATTGTAAAACTTCAATAGATGTGGCATATTTCTGTGACCACCATAATCAGTTACATTGTAAAAACTCAGACAAACTGGACATGGTGGCACATACCTGTAATCCCAACACTCTAGAGGCTGAGGCAGGCGGAGTGCAAGTTCCTGGCCACATAGTGGGACTCTGTCTCAAAAAACAAAACAAACAAAAACAAGCAGTTATGGCTTTAAAAAACCCCTCTATTATAAATTTCTTCTACACAAATGTGATTGTTTTCTGTACTCCTTTTTGACTTTCTCCTCCATCTGTCAGTTCATGAAGCGCTCCCCCCCCCCCCACCCCCGTGCGCTCGCTCGTGTGTGTGTGTGTGTGTGTGTGTGTGTGTGTGTGTGTGTGTGTGTGTGTGTGTTGGCAGTGTTGGGTGTCTTCGTTGATCAGTCTCCACTTTATTGACTGATTGATTGATGGAGTGTATGCTCATGCCCCCAGTGTGGATCAGTGGTGATCAGTCTCCACTTTATTGACTGATTGATTGATGGAGTGTATGCTCATGCCCCCAGTGTGGATCTGGAGATGAGAGAACAACCTGGGGACCTGGGGGAGTCACTTGTCTTCTACTGTGTGGGTTCCAGAAATCAAACTCAGATTGCCAGGCTTGGTGTCAAGTGCCTTTACTTGCTAAGCCATCTTGCTGGCCTTATTTTTTGAGACAGTCTAACTCAATGGTCCTCAACCTTCCTAACGCTGTGACCTTTTAAAACAGTCCCTCATGTTGAGGTGACCCTAGCCATAAAATTATTTTCATTGCTACTTCATAACTGTAACTTTGCTCCTATTGTGAATTGCAATGTAAACATCTAATATGCAGGATGTGTGATGTGTGAGCTTACAGATTGAGAGCAGTTGGTCTATCTGAATCTGGAGCTCACTGACATCTGCAGGCCACTGAGCTGCAGGGATACTCCTGTCTCTGGGCTGCTCCCAGCTGCCCTCAGCACTGGTGGGGGCAGACTCATGTGCAGCTATCCCCGGCTTGTATGTGGAGACTGGGGCATCCAAACAGCACTTTACTGGCTGAACCTTCTCAATAGCCTAGTTTTGAATTTCATTGTTGGCAAACTGTTCTCTGGAAAGACTCAATTTATGTTCTCTTCAGTATTTTAGAGAACGTGTGTTTTGGTTCTGAACTGGGTCTGAATCTCAAGGTTGGTTGTATTCAAGTTTATGTAATGACAGATCAAGCACCTATTTAGACCCTTCCACGGAAGGTATGGTATTTGGCTGTTGGATTTGCTTAAGTATGTGACTCAGGTCAAGACTATTTCTCCTTGGGACCTACCTCCCTGAGGTAACTTGTCCAAAACTCCCAGTTCCCCATTTCCCACTCTTTGGTTCCCATGTAAGCAATGAGTCAGTGATTAAGAGTACTGGCTGCTCTCCCAGAGGACCTGGGTTCAATTCCCAGCACCCATATGGTAACTCACACCTGTGACTCCAGTTCCAGGGCTTCTGACGCCCTCACAGAGTGCAGGCAAAACACCAATAAACATAAAATAATAAATTTAAGGAAAAGATTCTGACTCAAGGGACTGGAGAGAAGACTCAGAGGTTAAGAGCACTGAGTGCACTTCCAGAGGTCTTGAGTTCAATTCCCAGCAACCACGTGGTGGCTCACCACAACCTTGTGTAGTAAGATCTGGTATCCTCTTCTGGCCTGCAGGCAAACAAGCTGACAGAACACTATATATATATATATTATATATATATAATAAACATTAAAAAAAAAGATTCTAGCCAGGCGTTGGTGGAGCACACCTTTAACCCCAGCACTAGGGAGGCAGAGGTAGGCTGATCTCTGTGAGTTTGAGACCAGCTTGGTCTACAAGAACTAGTTCCAGGACAGCCTCCAAAGCCACAGAGAAATCCTGTCTCAAAAAAACAAAAACAAGCAAACAAAAAAAGTCTGACTAAAGAATAAAGGTTAAAAAATAAATACAATACTAATAGTAAACAGAATTTTTTGAAAAATTACATATATGTGTGTGCACATTTGTGAGTGTGGGATCGATTGTCTCCTGTGGTTCTTGGGATCAGGCTCTGGGCATTAGGCTAGTGCATCAGGTCACCTGTTGAGCCATCACAAAGGCCCATGCTGCACTTTATCACCCTCACTTGTGGCCTGTGTGTCAGCAGGGACCCAGGTAGCTAATGTCAGAAGAAAGTGATTCTCAGAGAACCAGCCCCTCCGTGGCCTCACTCTCCGAAAATGAGCTGCCGTTGCCTCCCCCTGAGCCGCCCCGCTATGTGTGCTCACTGACAGAGGACCTGGTCACCAAAGCCAGAGAAGAGCTTCAGGAGAAGCCTGAATGGAGACTCCGGGATGTGCAGGCCCTTCGAGACATGGTGCGCAAAGAGTACCCATACCTGAGCACGTCGCTTGACGACGCCTTCCTGCTGCGCTTCCTGCGGGCTCGAAAGTTTGATTACGACCGGGCCCTGCAGCTGCTAGTCAACTACCATGGCTGCCGGCGAAGCTGGCCAGAGGTCTTCAGCAACCTAAGGCCCTCAGCCCTGAAAGACGTTCTTAACTCCGGATTCCTCACAGTGCTGCCCCACACGGATCCCAGGGGCTGCCACGTCCTCTGCATCCGGCCAGGTACTTGGGGGATGTGTGGTCTCTCTGGGATGGGTCTGTCCCTTACCATGCTTCCTCTCATAGTTCCCTCACTTTCTTGCTTTACTGAAGGTTCTTTTGGGGGTTGGTTTTGGCTTTTGAAAACAGTCCAGGCTGATCTCAGACTCACTGTGCAGCCAAGGATGATCCTGAACTCGTGACCCTCTTGCCTCTACCTCCAAGGTGCTAAGATTTTAAGTGTGTACCTTTATGCCTGGCCTCAAAGCTCCTTTGACTACAGATGACAAAGCCATCCTCAGACTGACTGAGGACCATGGGAATATTTGGCCTAATGAGGCAGAATCAGCTCCCAGATTCACCACACTGAAGTTGCTGCCACTCCTACCAGGCCCTAGACCCCAGAGCACAGACCCCAGGACTGCCTGTGCTGGACACGGAGTCTTCATACTTCCCCCCGAAGGACAGCAAAGCTAAATCTGGCCCACTCAGCTCTCAGGCTCACCTGGCCACTCAGCCAACTTCTGTGAGTGCAAACTCAGATTTCCAGAGGAGAGAGTGCAGTGGGCTGAGGAATCTGTTCTTGTTCTTCGGGTACAGGCATGAGTGCCAAGCCCCTCCCAGCGCCTCCTCTGAGTGGGCTGAGGACAGATATAAGTGAGACATGTGGTCTGGGCAGAAGCCTGGAAAGGTGCCCACTCCCCCCTCCTTTGTTGGGTTAAACCCTGACAAGGTCCTATGTATTTTTATTTATTCAAAAGGTTCTTGCAGTGCTGGGACTGGACGTGGTGTGCTCCTGCTGCGCAGCTGTACCACTGAGCTGTGACCAGAACCTCTTGATTCATTGCTGATGCCCACCCTTCACAGTGCTACTCGGTGTAGCTTCCTTTTCCTTTTTATGTTATTTATTCTTGGAGATAAAGTCTCGATGTAGCCCTGGCTGTCCTAGAACTTGTTATTTAGAGCAGGCTGACCTCAAACTCACAGAGATCCATCTGTCTATGCCTCCTGAGTGCTGGGACTAAAAACATAAACTCAGCTTTTAAAAAAGTACCTTTTTAACATTACACAAAGAACTGTGATAGACTCAAAGGTAAATAAACATCACATCCATTTATCCTACTTTCTAGTGTATTAACTTTACTATTCACACAAGAGAGGAGGTGGCAACTTAGGTATCAGGAAAGAATGGAAACTACATTCCTGTTTTGCTGTCTTGGCTCTGTTCAGATCTTTGGCACAGGTTATTTGCAACAAGGGAAGCTCCCTAAAGAGAGCATTTAAAATTGTGGCCCGGGAATAGCTAAAACGGGGTGAGGATGGGGGGCTTCTGATCACAATTTTATCCTGTTGGGCACCAGGTACAGCTGAGGAAGGACCCCTGCACTCCACTCACAGCCCCTGCAGTTCCCTTCATGCAGAGCCCAGGGGAGAATGAAAGATTGCAGCACTCCTCCTAAGCAGGCCAGAAAGGGAGCACGTGCTGGCAGCCCTGTGCCTGCAGATTCACCTGAAGGGGTGTCGGGTGGTACAGCCACCTCCGTATGTCTCCCTCTGCCTGGATGCCTCGCACCACTTCTAGCCCTTTACCAAACTGTCTTTGCAGTCTAGATCATTCTCTTCACCCTGAGCCATGCGTCAGACATAGCTGGAGCCACTTTACCTGCTGGGCTAGGCACTTTCCAAAATTACGTGTTTATTTTAAAATAAGCAGTGCAGACTTCTGAGCACCGAGAGACCTAGAAACTGGCCAGCAAGCTTTGTCTTGCTACTGTGAGCTCAGCTCAGAAGTGTTATCAGATGGCCAGATGTCACCATGCTGCCTCTGCCTCCTCCTGGCATGCAGTTTTGCTTGTGAGATGAATCTCCTCCTTGTGTTTGGGTGAGATATGGCCCCTCCCTGCTGACTCAGCTTCTTAGGAGGATGCATACCTACAAAGTTGTGTTCCTGTTTTTGGTTGTTTTTGTTTTTTGTTTGTTTGTTTTTTTTGTTTTGGTTTGTTTTGTTTTTTGGTTTTTCGAGAGAGGGTTTCTTTGTATTGCTTTGGAGGCTGTCCTGGAACTAGTTCTTGTAGACCAGGCTGGCCTCAAACTCACAGAGATTCGCCTGCCTCTGCCTTCTGAGTGCTGGGATTAAAGGCGTTCGCCACCACCACCTGGCCCTAACTGGGTTTTATTTTGCTTTTTTTCTAAGCTCTTTTGAGATGTATACAATTAAAAAGATGATATCCAATTATATAGAGGTGGGCTTCATTCATATGAACATTATTAATCACCGGGTTTGGCAAAGTTAGTTATGAGAATTTTGTACAGGGTAAGTGAGATGGCTCAGCAGGTAAAAGCCTGTGTTCTGATCCCTGGAACCCAAGTAAAAATGGAAAGTGACAACCTAAGATTGTCTTTTGACTTCCATACATGCTCTATGGCATACATGTCCACTTACACATAAATGGGTACATATATACACATACTGAAAAATAATTTTGTGCGCAGTACATATATCCCATTTTTAGCAAAATGAAATTTTGTTTTTAATGTATTCTTCCCTGATTTCACACACACACACACACACAATCACTTTTACATGATCCCCCATGTCCTTCATCATCCATCATCCTTCCCTCTAAAACCCCAAGTCCCTTCTTCCTTCCCCAAGAAGCCCTCCATTGTTCATGTCTTGTATCACCCCTTGCAGGGAATGGGTGGGTGGGGAGTGACTCACTGCATTTAATTAGGGTTGCTTCTGTGTGCATACATTGGGAGTTATTTACCTGAGCAAGAGGATCTTACCACTGAAGACTATGATTCCACTTCCCCAGCATTTGGGGAGAGATTTTTGTTTCTGAGACCTGTCTCTTGTAGCCCAGGCTGGCCTTGGACTTTCTGTGTAGCTGAGGATAACCTTGGACTGCTGTTCTTACTACCAGTACCTCCCAAGTGCTGAGATTATAGATGTGAGCCCAGACCCAAGTGAGCTTTGTCTTTATGTCTTTGTCTCTGTGTCTCACAGGACATAAGGTCTTGGTTTCCTGCTACGCATGGCAGTCCTTGCCTTTATCCCAACACTTAAGAGGATCCTGAAAATTCAGGGCCAGCCTAAGATACAGAGTGACTCTGTCTCAACCCCTTACCCCTGCCTCCCCCCCAAAAAATAGTAAGAAGAGAAAGAATAGGGATTAGCAATCAAAAATAACATTGCCATTTTATCCTTTTCCCAAAGAAAGGACTCATTAAATATGCAAAATTAATGGAACATCCATCCTGAAAGGAAGAATTTGAGAAAAGATCTCATGAAACATAGCTGTGCTCCATCCTGTAACACCCTGCAGGTATATGTGAGTTAGGACTCACTGTTTAGATGACAAATGACCAAAAGCCCACTGCAGTCATTTGAAACAAGAACTCATTTGCTCAGGTGACATCTAGGGTCAGTTAGATTTGGGGGTGTGGGGCAACTAGAGAGGTGATTCCATCTCTGCCTGCCTTGGCATGGGCTTCATTCTCAGACCAGCTCTGGACTCACAGCTTTACTGCTATGAGAGGAATGAGTGATCTTCCCTTTCCCAAGAACCACACCCTAGATGGAGTCTGTCTGGCTCTGTGTCACCTGGCTTAGACCACATCATGCTGTGACTAGGATGTCTACCAGATTGGCCAGTCAGTTCTGTGCAACCTGTGTGACCAGAATGGAAAATCAGGTGGTGGTGTGATGACATTTGATGGTAGGAAGCAGTGGTGGCCAAGAAGGTAGTTGCTTACCCTGTTTACTTAAGAGACGGGCTCAACTGGAAAGTGGTGGCGCACGCCTTTAATCCCAGCACTCAGGAGATAGAGGCAGGTGGATCTCTGAGTTGGAGGCCAGCCTGGTCTACAGAGTGAGTTCCAGGACAGCCAAGGCTACACAGATAAATCTGTCTTGAAAAACCAAAATGGGGTGGGGAGGGAAGGAGGGAAATAGAGGACAGAGTTAGAATACTAAAGCATCTTGCCCAAGGTCACACAGCTCGTAAAAGTTAGAGGGTAGCATATCTGGCTTCAGAGCTCACACTTTTAACCTCAGATGTGTTTTCATCTGCAAATGTTCTGCTGAGTTTGGGAGTAGAAAACAGCTTCAGGGCAGGATCTTGGTGACAAGAATGTCTTTTTCTTCCATTGCAAAGCCGAAGTTTTAGAAGATGCATCTTTTTCTGAGCACTTGTTTGTATTCATTCCATAACTCTGTCTATCCTTGTGACCTCAGACAGATGGATACCGAGCAACTACCCAATCACTGAGAACATTCGAGCCATATACTTGACATTGGAAAAACTCATTCAGTCCGAAGAGACCCAAGTGAACGGAATTGTAATTCTCGCAGACTACAAAGGCGTGAGCCTATCAAAAGCATCTCATTTCGGCCCTTTTATAGCCAAAAAGGTGATTGGCATCCTTCAGGTATGGCCCCTGTTCACTATGTACCTATTCTATGGTTACTTTCTTTCCCCACGGCCTGCCCACTTGCTGCTGTCGTGTGGGAACTACACAAACTTCTTCCCACTACCGGGGGAAGTGTCTCCAGTGCTCTTTGCCATGACTCCGAAGGTACCTGTGGGAGGTACCTCTCTGTTCTTAATGGTTCACATACCCTGTCATTACAGTTGAGTCCTTCAGGGAAGGCTCTGAGAGAGGCAGGAATTCATCTCCCTTTTGATAGATGGGGTAGCAGAGACCTAAAGAACACATGGGCTACTCCACGTGTCACAGCTAAAAGGTTGAGCTCCTGTTTTTTGACATTCTCCTTGGGTGCTGCCTCCTGTGAGCTGTGAGGTGCCAGTGGTACAGCTGCCCTTCACTGAGGTTCACAGACATGCAAGCCCTTGCTGTGACTCGACTTCTAAACAGACCACCTTGGTGTTGGTCATCATTTTATTTTGTTTTGTGAGACAGACTCTCTTGTGCTCCAGGCAGGCCTCAAACTTGACATGTAGCCAAAGATGCTCCCAGTTCTCCTGTCTCTACCACCATGCACAGCTCCATCAAGTCTGATTTTCCTTGGCTTCTGCTGTTTTTATTTTCTTGTGCTGGGAATAGAACTTGGGACCTCATGTATACTAGGCAAACACTCTACCACTGACATACACCATTTTGTTTTTAATTATTTTATGTGTATGGGCATTTTGCCTACATATATATCTGTGCACATATGTGCTTGGTGTTCCAGGAGGCCAGAAAGTATCAGATTCCCTAGGACTAGGGCTACAGATCATTGTAAGTAAACATGTGGGTGCTGGGAATCGAACCCAGGTCCTCTGGAAGAGCAGCAGTGCTCAGCTGCTGAACCATTCTTTCCAGCTCCTGGCTCTGTGTTTTGATGGCTCCTGCTGAATAATACATACACAGTGTATGACACATAACACATACACACAGTGTATGACATGTAACATATACACACAGTGTTTGGTTTGGATCTGTATTTTTCTACTAATGTAAGATCGCCCAGAAGGGCCTAAAATTCCAGAGTTAAGTAAGTTTGGGAACTGTGATGTAATGTGTCCCATTCTTGTGAATGTCACTGTAAACATCAGTTTATTAAAGCCTGTGAACAGAACTGCACTTAAAGTTATACCTCCACTTATTTAAATGGATCTGGAGATTGGACATAGAGCCTTGCATGTTAGGCAAGGCTCTACCATTGAGCTAGTGTGTAAAAACAGTTTTTATAGCAGGGCGGTGGTGGTGCACCTGTAAACCCAGCAAGAGGCAGATTTTTTAATTCAAGGCCAGCCTGGCCTACAGAGTGAGTTCCAGGACAGCCAGGGCTATTTCACAGAGAAACCCTGTTTTGAAAACCCAAACAAACAAAATAAGACAAAATAAAGCAAACCCACTTTAAATTTTGAGATAGGGTTTCCCCAAGTGGCCCAGGATGGCCTTGAAAGTACTATGTATATTTGTTACCTTTTTGTTGCTGTGATAAAACACCATGGCCAAGGCAGCTTACAGAAAAGAGGTTTATTTTGTGTATGGTTCTGGGAAATAAGAGCCTGCCATGTCAGGGAAGCATGGCATGAAGAATCAAGCATGGTGTGGCAGGAAAGGAGCCGAAAGCTCACACCTCAATAGCAAACACAAAACAGAGGACACTAAAACCAGTGTGGGGCTGTGTGCTCTTCCTTCAGGAGGGCCACCTCAGGGGGTCACTCCTCCTCAGCTTCCCAAACGGAGCCTCCAACTGTGACCAAGTGTTCAGATACCCAAGCCTGTAGGGGACATCTCATTCAGACACCATACTCTGTAACTCAGACAGGCTTGAACTCACAGCCATCCTACCTCAGCTTCGCAAACAGCTATGATTACAGGCCTGAACCACCAGGCCAGGCTAAGGAAATCCGTGTGACTATGCAGGCCAGCGTATTCCTCTAGCTCACATATTTCCCAAGCAGGCCCGCTTCACGTCGTATCTGGTATGCCCTGGGAAGTGCCCTTGAACAGCTCTGACCTGGAAGGTCTGATGTTTTCCAGCTCTTTCTCTGTCATGTTAGACCACTGTTCGCTGCTATAGTAGCCACCTCTACCTGCCACCTTTGCCTAGTCTTCTGACTCAGACTTCCTTATAACCTGTCTTCTTCTTTGTTGCCACTAGGGCTGTCTCTGAGGCAGCTGTGAGAGTCACAGCAGACTGGCTGTGCTTCTTATGGTTTAGAGGGGAAGGGTAGTCACAGAGGGGATGGTTCTCATATACTGCCCATGTTCTAACATGGCGTTTCTTTGACCAACAGGATGGCTTTCCCATTCGGATAAAAGCAGTCCACATAGTGAATGAACCTCGGATATTTAAAGGCATTTTTGCCATCATAAAACCATTTCTGAAGGAGAAAATAGCAAACAGGGTGAGTGATTTCCTTTGAACTTGATACTTTTTAAAATCTCCCTTGATTTTTTTTTCTTACTTTTGATTTATTGTGACACCTAGAACAACATCATTTTTGTTCAGAAACTAATTTGGAAGTATAAGGCACTTATACTTAACATGATCTATCCTTTTTATGAGGGGAAGATGGAACTAGTAAGAATACATTGTTTGCCAATGAGAATAGGACCAAGGTGTTGCATTACTACTGGGCCTTATGTAGCCCAGGCTGAATGACGGGATTTTTATCATAAGCTGTCTCCCTGTTCTGTAATCTATTCAGACTTCCTGGTCTCCTGGCTTAGACATTATGAGCAACATTGCATTCTATGTGTAAGAGGATCTAGGAAAGGGGAGGAATGGGTCACCAAGCAGATAGATTTATCATCGCTTAGGTTTCTATTACTGTGATAAACCCATAACCAAAAGCATCTTGGGGAGGAAAGAGTTGGCTTACATATCCCTGGTCACAGTCCACTGAAGGAAACCAAGGCCAGAACCTAGAGGCAGGGACCTAGATGCAAGAACTGAAACAGACTATGGAGGAATGCTTTTTCCTGGCTTGTTCCTTGCCCTATTTGTTATTTTTTATGCCCAGAACCACCCACAGTGGGCTGGATCTTCCCACATCAATCACCAATCAAGGAAATGTCCTGAAGGCTAATTGGATGGGGCAATTTTCTCAACTGAGGTTCTTCTCTCTCAAATGACTCTAGCTTGTATCAAGTTGACAAAAAAACCTAACCAGTACAATTAGCATATATTAACATATGATAATGTTTCATTATGGCATTTCATTCCCCATTGCCCTCTTGTCCTCCTCCCACTCCCATTGTTCCTCCTCAAGTCAAGTAGTTCCCCTCTACCTTGTCTTTTTTTGTCTGTTCTGGTCACTTGCAAGGTCATGAATAAAGGGCCATTTACAGGATCATGGACACTTACCAGTGGCTATAACACTGAAGAAAATGCCCTTCCCCTGTCCCCAGCAAACATTAGCTGCCTATAGATCCTTAAAGGAGTGGGTGGTCCTGCCGCCAACACCATGATGTGTTGGGGAAGTCCTGTGTATATGTCAATAAAGCACTGCCTGCCAATAGGGAATCTAGATAGGTGGGACTAGGAGTCCAGGAGGACTCTGGGAGGGAGAAACACAGAGAGTCGAGATGTAACGCCATGAGGTAGGAAGCCCAGAAACTTCTCCGGTAAGAGACATACTTAGATTAACAATTATGGGGTAATTACTTAAGTCAGAGCTAGCCAGTAAGAAACAAGCAAGGCCAACAGCTTCATAATTAATACAGCGCCTTGTGTGTTATTTGGGGACTACAATGTGGCAGAGCCCAGGCGACTGGCAGGGGGGAAAAACCAAGCGGAGACAAGGAAAAGGCTTTCTCTTTACAATGATGGAATGTTGAAAGTTGCATTCTTGTGCACGTGATCACAGCTGCTGAGTCTATGCTTTTTGTACTCTTCTGTTTTAGTTTTTTCTCCACGGGTCTGACCTGAACTCTCTCCACACAAACCTTCCAAGGAATATTCTCCCCAAGGAGTATGGGGGCACAGCTGGAGAGCTGGACACTGCCACCTGGAATGCGGTACTGTTGGCCTCAGAGGATGACTTTGTAAAAGAGTTCTGCCAGCCTGTGCCTGCCTGTGACAGTCTCCTGGACCAGCCACTGCTGTCTGAAGGACTGATCTCAGATGCGCAGTGTGATGACTCCATGCGAGCCATGAAGTCCCAGCTCTACTCCTGCTATTAGCACTCTTTCGGGAGAGTCACCATGTATAATTCCTTCATTCCTTAGAAATACACAGGCTTAAGATGCCAATGCCTCAGTCTTGCTCCATCTTTATGCATCGATGGAGCTGCCTACAGAGATTCAAGGGTGAGCCCATAACAGGCAGACCTTTGACTACCTGGATTATTCCAGGGAAGAAAGACAAGGAAACAAACAGCCCTACTGATTCTCAAATGGTTTCGACTGCTAGTCTGGATAAGCTGCCTGTATCTGTTTCTTATGCATCTTGGTAGCAACCAGGGTCAGTCACCTGAAATGGCTACGAGAAGACAACTGGATTGATCATGACTCTGAAGCAATCTGCCAATCCTGAAAAGTGGCCACATATGAAACTGTTGAGAGTCTCTTTCCCAATAACCCTAGGTGTTGGCTTCTGTTGCTCTCAGCAAAGTTCAAGGTTCAGGCCCCATTTGTTAGCGCTGGGCCTGGAAAGCACTGTACACTGAGAAGTAGAAATACCAGGGCCCAAGCAGTGCTTAAAGATCAGATTTGGAAGCCACGTGCTTCAGAGCATCCCTGGGATTCCAGGGTTGAATCTCGCAATAGAAACTTTTCCCAAACCCATAAAGCCTTAGCTCTGTTCGTCATGGGATCATGCAGGTCAACATAAAATCCTAGATTCTTAGTACTGTGTGGCTACGGAGTCAGGTATGTGACTGAACAAGACAGGGACCTCAGCTTTGTCATCTCCAAGGTGAAGCTATATGGAATGGGAACCTCTGGGGCTGCTGAAGTTGTTAGGATTCCTGCTTGGAAAGATGACTGCCTAGAGGTGGTTGGCTCTTGTTTTTGTTCTTTTGGTTTTTTTTTTTTTTTTTTTGGTGATACATACACAAGCCTTATGTAAAGGAGTGTCACTATTTGGCCAGGCCTTTGGTGGTAACCAACTGCCTTTGCAGAATGATGGGTAAATTTGCAAGGGATGGCTTTTGTGGGGCTGGCCAAATCTTGTACAAACTCCTTCCACCTTGGAAACACTAGTAGTAGAAACAGTCACAGTAATTTCCAGATCTGGGCTTCTTCTATTTTTGTGTCTGGAAACACACTGGGGCAGGTTATTATTGCTGGTTCACCTGGAGGCCCTGCCAAGTGTTTGTCTATCGTGGAATGACCAGTTGGCCAGAATGGTAGTTTTGCATTTAGGCACTTTAGATAACAAGATTTTAGCCTTAACCCCAGCATTGAGTGAAGAAATTTATCTACTGGATTTTGACCTGTTTCTTTGGTATTCATCGTGAATTATTTTGTTAAATAGCATATGCTGTTGGTTGTGTATTTACTGGACTAAGTAGGCATTCCACACAGCTTACAGACATGGCCTTGAGATTCGAAGGTCAGTCGATTGTTACTAAATTTCCTAAAACATCTGCAGAAGTTCCTAATGGAAACTTAACATAAAGATGCCAATTCTGGGGGACATTCTTTTCACCATAGATGCTAATCCTTGATCTTCTAAGTCCTGACTGAGCTTAAGTGCCAAAACATGCCCCTCTTGACTGCCCAGAGACCATTTACTACTACCGAGTTTCTGCTATTTGGTTTAGCTCCTGCCAGATTTTCTGCCTAAAGAGATGACCACCCACACACCTGAATAGACCCGTGATGGCTCTGAACCCAGCAACCTGGGTGAGAGAATCTATTAGAAGCTTATTTATGTCCTAAGGAGGGAGAGAGCACAAAGAAAAAATAGACAAAGGGAAAGATGAATTCCTCAACCCTGCCAGGTTCTCTGGTCTAAATCCTGTCACATGACTAGCTTTGTCTTAGTTGTTTGCCAAGCCTTTCTGGTTAAGCCAAGGGGGAGCCATTCCCATCAAGCCTCTGAGAGCCTGGGACTGCTGTCCCCACAAGCTGTTGTGCTGCTTGCTGACTCTAAAAGGTCAGTCTTAGCATATCCAGTTTGAAGCAGGCTGTGAGACCAGGACCTCCTGGTGCAAAATAAAGCAGCTCCTGTGCTGAGCAGCAGGTGAGCCGCAGAGCCTCAGCGGAATGGGGAAACTCTGGTGGAGGCAGCAGGTGAGCAGCAGGGGTCCAGGAGAGCCTGAGTGGAGAGGAGCACACTGGTAGAGGCAGCGGGAGAGCAAGAACTCAGGAGCATCTAACTTTAGGGAAAATCTCTACCCGTTTCACAGACAGCAAAATGAACTTTTCCTAAAACTCAAGGTTTTGGGTGGTGTTGGGAGGAAAATTAGATAGTGAAATAGAAGTGGGTTCCAGCTTTATCTTCCTACATGGCCTTGAATGTACCACTTGACACCCTTGATCACTGGAAAGAGAGGCTTGTATGCTGAACTCTGAATCCTGTCCCTAAATGGCTCTCTGGTCACAAGGACACTCTACTTGTTTTTTAAGAACAAGGTTATTTAGGAATGTAGGTCAAGCCAGGCGTTGGTGGCGCACGCCTTTAATCCCAGCACTCGGGAGGCAGAGGCAGGCGGATCTCTTTGAGTTCGAGGCCAGCCTGGTCTACAAGAGCGAGTTCTAGGACAGCCTCCAAATGTAGATCAAGTAATTTGGTGCTGAAATATGCTAGTTTAGGAATATGAGAATTTTCTTCTCTTGACCAAGTCCACTATAGACTTCCACTAAGTTCAGTTCCCTGAAACCTATTGTTCCATTATGGAGGGATAAGATAAAAATCTACAGAAACAGCCAGAAGTGCTGGCTTCCGACCTTGGCTTTCTCTGGGCATAGGAAAATTCAGGCATTCCCTCTGAGTATCTGAGACAGCTTTATTACCCAGCAGGCAGTTTAGGCAGATGTCATTTCATCCTTCTGGTCATTCATGAAACTTGGCTCTTTCATTTGGGCAGCAACAGCTACTGCTGTTGTGGCACCATTACAATACCTCATCTTGAAATCTCCTTTAGGAAGGAAAACATTTTTAACTCAGTTGATGCAAGTGTAGCTGTCCTATGGTCATTCAGGCTGGAACACCAATGGGCTGCTCAGAACAGCCAGCTATCTTGCTAAGGCTTCTCAGTATTGCTGTCTGTTCACTTTGCAAATTTCTTTCTGCTCTCCTGACTCAAATGCTCAGCTTCAAACCAAGAAGCACCACCAATACTTCTCCATGGGAGCTTGCTCCACAGGAAGGCCCAGTATAATTTGGCTGGAGACGATCACAAGTTTGCTGGTTTTCAATTACCTGGGGTCCTGTGTGTTTTCAATCTCATTGGAGGCTTTTCCCATCAGGCAGTTAAGTGGGGGCTACTTTGGGGTCTCCCATATGCTCCTCGCCTTCTTGGCATGGTACACAGGAACCCAACAGGTAAAATACTTGAAACTTTTCAGTGGCCAAGACCTCAGACACCCTTCTGATGGGCGGAAATGGGGCTGTTTTCCTGAGCAGTCTAGGCCACTGTTTTAGCCCTGGTCACGTTCCTTACTTCAAACTGAAATTCAGTTTGACTTGAGTATAGGCACATATGGTGGATTCATCTACTTCAGTGTTTGTTTTGACCAAAGTTTATTTTTCTAGTGCATTTTTCTAAGTGGTGAAATATGTAATTTTAGTATGCATGACTGAATCTCCAACAATAAAAATCTCTGTAAGGCTGAGTGTGTGTATTGTGGTTTTGTTTCTTAAGACAAAACCTGAATGTAGTTCTGGCAACCTAGACAGACAGGTTTCCTAACCATGGGCCCAAATACATCTTCCTGCCCTCTAGATGAGCTTGGGAGGGGCACTGTGGCAGGCACTGGCTGCCACTGAAGATCATGAACACTTAGAACACACTTGTTGTGTATAAAGAAAAATGAATTTAGCTCCACACAGCGGTAGAGGCATATATTTTTCAGGTCCCAGGACTTGAGATGTTTCTCAGAACTGACCCTGAATCCTTCCAATGATATCTAATGATTCCTAAAGAACTCCTGTGGCCTGGACAGATGTGCCAAGTACCCAGAGCACAAAATATCATTTATATCTTCAGACACCGTGAATGAAGTGTATTGCCCCTGTGAGGAAAACAGGGCCCAAAATTGTTAATTAGCTTGCCAATGACATTCAAAGCCAGGCAGTCCAATGATCTTGTATCAGAGCATGATGGGTGGGGTTCAGTGGCACATCAACTCATTCTTACGCTCACATAACCAAGCCGTAAGAATGGAATGGGAATCTTTCAGAGAAACTGAGCCTAATGAAGTGACACATGGCTATTCTAGAAGCTGAGGCTGAAGTTTGGAGTCAGCTTGAACAATATCACCAGACCCCATCTCTCCACTTCATCTTACTCAAAAGGCTAAGAAGTAGCAGGGTGGTGGTGCATGCCTCTAACCCCAGCATCCAGAAAGCAGTTCCAGGACAGCTACTGTTACATGGAGGAATCCTGCCTTGAAAAGAGAAACAAAAAAGCTAAGAAGTGAGAGACTCCATTTTGGGGGTGGGGGGTTTCAAGAAAGGGTTTCTCTGTAGCTTTGGAGCCTGTCTTGGAACTCGCTCTGCAGACCAGGCTGGCCTCAAACTCAGAGATCTGTCTGTCTCTGCTGGGACTAAAGGCTTGCACCACCACCACCTGGCAAAAATTTTCTCTGTAGAGGTCAGGGCTCTACACCCACCCCCACCACACACAGACACATAAATTTCCATCTCAGAGACTGAGTTTGTATTTAACATTTTCACCCAGAAGCACCTATACACAGGTCCAGGCTATGGTGGATACTGGGATGGGACTAACTCCACACACACTAAGCTGCTACCTGTTTGTTTATAGAGCAGACAGTAGCTGGGTCCTTGTAGCCAGTCTGGCTGGAAGGGTGGCTGAGTCAGCTGAGAAACTAGCACAGGATGCAGGCTTCAGTGATGCAACAGGTTAAATGTTCATGTTGCAGTGTTGGAGCGGGGGTCTGTTTCTCACTCTAGGATGAGAACTGTCTGACAATTACCTCCACTTTAAGGCACTTGTGAGGATCAGTACCTCTCCCCGGTCTCAGGCAGAACTTTTCCAGGCTTCCTAAGCACAGAGCACTGGTTGAACATTGCCACAGTCAGTGGAAGTAGGAGTTTTATGTGCTTGGGTTTAAGGTTGATAACTAGGGCTGGGCTGTGGCTTAGTATGGAGCAGATAAGCAGCATGCAAAAAACCATGGATTTGATCCTCAGCACCATAAGGGGAAAGGGCTAGTAATAATACCTTTTAGGGCATCACTCTCCTTAGAGGATTTTTTTAAAGTGGAAATTATCACATATCCCTTTTTTTTTTAAAGATTTATTATTATATATACAGAGTTCTGCTTGCATGTATCCTTACAGGCCAGAAGAGGGCACCAGATTTCATTACAGATGGCTGTGAGCCACTATGTGGTTGCTGAGAACTGAACCCTGGTACTCTGGAAGAGCAGGCAGTGCTCTTAACCTCGGAGCCATCTCTCCAGCCCCCTAGCGGATTTTTTAAAAAAAATAAATGTTCGTGTCCTGCTGGGCAGTGGTGGTGCATGTCTTTAATCCCTCAACACTAGGACAGAGGCAGGCGGATCTCTGTGAGTTCCAGAACAACCAGGCCTACACAGAGGGACCGTCTCAAAAAAAAATGTCATGTCCTTACGTGATTGGACCCCAGTCACTACAGAGATGAGCTGAAGATGCTAGTAAAAAGCCAGGTCACATTTCTTTCAGTGGAGCACTCAGGAGGCAGAGGCAGACAGAACACTGAGTCTGAGACCAGCTTGGTCTAAATATCCAGTTTTAGTCCAGCCAGAGATACATGTCTCCCAGTTGCAGTTAGGCTGAAATGGCAGCCCCTGCTGCTGCCTTTGATAAATTCCTAGAATGTGCCACTGGCTGCTGAGTCAGGGCCCTGGATCTGCAGATAGGGGTGTGATGAAGTATCATGTGTACTCATCTGGAACGGTATGATTCAAAACAATGTCCTGTTGTGAAGGATGGCTTTAGGACTACTCAAAATGCTGGCATTCTTCATGCCTGTGTACAGTCTGCACTTGATGTATAATTGTTCACTTGCATCTTGAAAGAATGTTTCATGTTAACAGCCAGATTTAACTCATTCCTAGAGTGCAGCTAAGCAAAGGCAGGACTGCTCTCTTTTTAAAGAGAACTTGTTATTTCAAATTAACCTCAAAATTATCATGGTGGGAAAATACCCTTTATTGGACTTTATTACATTATTTTGAATCATATAAGGCAAAGAATGGTGAATTATGTTTTGAAATTTAGGGTCTTTAAAGGTCTGACTGTGACTTGCCCCGTTGTTAAGAGCAGGGTATCTGCCTTACAGTTAAGATCAAGAGCCAGGCTTATTTGCCCACAAATTCTTGTAACTTAATTTCCACATGAATATAAGGGAGAGTAATTCCAGTAACTCCAGTCAAACCCAGCTTCCCTAGCCTCCAACTCCAGTTAGCTGATATCTGGTAAGATTCTCTAAAACCACCTCAAGTCCAGCCTCTATCAGATTCTGAACATCTCTGACATTTTCAGTATGTTGTTTTGTATTTTTGGTTTTGGTTTTTTGTTTTTTCGAGACAGGGTTTCTCTGTGGCTTTGGAGGCTATCCTGGAACTAGCTTTTGTAGACCAGGCTGGTCTCGAACTCAGAGATCCGCCTGAAGTGCTGGGATTAAAGGTGTGTGCCACCAACTCATGGCCTAATCTTGCTTTTATCCATAGTGACATTGGCACTTACTGTCAAAAGTGCTTAAAATAGATTCACTCTGAGACACTTTATCTTCAATCTTGTGTACTGATATTGAGGATCAGACTGGTGTGCTAAAGGTCATAAGCACAGTACGCACTCAGTAAGCATTGGTTGACTAGACAATAGCACAGCTCAGATAAAGACTCAGAAGGTCTGACTCCCAAACCTAGTCATCATTTGAAGGGACCACCTCTATCCTTTTGATACAACCAGGGTCCCAAATAGAACCTATTTACACAGATTAAACCAGAATCCCCCAGACATCTCTCCTATCCAATGTGGAAATGGTCTAAGCTCTCAATATCTCTCCAAACCCTCTCTATTCTTTTCAAATGTCAGATGAGTTGCCCCAGTATCTGGTATGAACCAAAGTAACAAATCCTAAGAGCGCTCTCTCTAGGAAGTCCACTGTACTAGCCTCTATCCAGAGACCTCTTCTCATGAATTTAACAGGAACTTCCCATGCTGGTCAGCTCATTTTCATTTAACTTAGCCCAAGATGGGAGAATGTGTGTCTGTCGTGTGTCTTCACCCCTACAGGGAGTAGTGCAGACCAAACCTTGGCCAGTTTCTGTTGAAAAGCCTGCTGTATTATTCCTTCTCATGGACTGCTCTTCAGGAATGCTTTCGCTGCCAGTGCCTTACTTACTTTGGTCTTTACCAGAGAAAGTATTAGGGCTACTTTCTAAATGAACATAGGACTTAACTTACTAATCAAATCTTAAGTGTCAGAAGAGAAGAGAAGAAGCATTTGCCTGAAATGCCAGATTGACACTTTTGACTCTCCACACAAGCAAAGACGACTGACCAAACCCCACTGAAGCAGGAGCCTTGAGAAACTAGGTATGGTGTCCCAGACTTAACATTTCAGACCTTGAAAGCTAAGGCAGGATTTAAGTTCCAGGCAAGTCTGGGATACAAAGAAAAGACCCTTTCTAAGAAACAAACAAACTAACAAGAAACTAAATATCTATTTTAATCAAGTACTTTGATAGTGCAAATTTAATAAGCTAACATGCCTCTGACTTTTACACTCATAACAAGGTCATCACATAACACTGCAGTGTTTCCCAAGTGAACTTTCATTTTAATCAAATCTACAAAGCATTTACTGGGATGACATATCTGACAAAGCCACAGACTTCTATCAAGCAGCATCAGTGTAGTATAAAAAGTAAGTAAAGGAACTCAATAGCCTTCTCTCAGCCTTATCAGTAGCCGTGTTTCTGGAAAGGACCTACATACATAATTCCTTGCCCAAAACCAGATGCTACACCTCTGGAGAGCCTATGCAAGAAACAGTGTGCATGTGTCACTCAGCAAAGATCTTTACCAAGGGAACTGTGGGTTACTGCACTCCTTTTTTGGTTTTTAAGGAGACTACAATAGAAATATATTAAAGATAGCTTCAACTATCCAACAATCTTCTAACTTCCATTTGAAACAGAAGATGTAGGAATCTACAGGTCTTTATAAAGAACTCTCTCTCTTCACAGCACAGCTGTAGTTCATGCTAAAACACAAAAATGTTCCCTTTGTGCTATAGCCTTACAAATACACAGAATACATATGTGTGTGTATATATATATATATGTATATATATGAAAGCTCAGATTCTGCATTAAGCATTATTCAATCTTGCCTTTTGATATAAACATGAATACAGCCAAATTTGCAAAGCGTTCACTTAATAGTTTAGTTGATGAAACGTAGACTGGATATGAGTTTTCAGCAAAGGAGACTGTCAGGTTTAGCAGTGTCCTTGACACTCCGAAGCTCAGCTGAAGTCCCGACCTGTGAGGACGAGTGGAGCCACAAGAGTCCAGAGGTAAAGGAGAAGGCACACCCAGCTGGAGCTCATTTTGACCCACACAGCTAGCCAGTTGCTGGATACTTTCTGGAACTT